CAGCACCTCCTTATAAAGATGCATTGAATCAATGCATTAGTATGGGGAACGTTCAGCCCAACACAAGAAGCGCCTCTAGTGGCTGTCTTCATGATTGCCATTGGAGGTGTCCCTAGGGAGCAATGTAAACACACAAAGGCAGTGTTTACATGAAAATGCCTGCAGGGACAGGATATAGACACCACAACTACATTCAGCTTCTGTTCTGGTGACCATAGTGTCCCTTTAAATATGAAGTTAACTTGAAATCTAATTTGAATTCTCCCTTTAGTGAGTTTTATTGTTGTGGAGCTCTATATTACACATCACAGCACTAGAATGAATAATGTTTATTACATTCTTGCAAAAATAAATAAATAATACATGGACATGTGATAGGACTGCCAGGTGCACCATGTTTAATTATTACTGCTTCCTCTCCAGGAAGTTCTGATGGATCCAGCAGCCAAGGCTGCTGACACTGTATGTAGTCAATAACGTGTCACGTGCTGCTCCACACAGCCGCTGATTGGCTCACTCGCAACTCCCGCACACACAAGACCATGTATCATATCAGCACCCAGAGGAAGCACTGGACGTTCTCCAGCGACAGCGAGCCGGTGCGGCTGAGGGCTCAGGCAAACGGCAGGTGGCGAGCGAAGATCCGAGCCACGGGGAAGGTACGGTGACCTAACCCTGGGCTGCACTGCAGCAAGTGGCGGGATCTAGGGCTCCGGTGATGGGATCCGGGGCTGCAGCGATGGGATCTGGGGCTGCAGCGATGGGATCTGGGGCTCCAGCGATGGGATCTGGGGCTCCAGCGATGGGATCTGGGGCTGCAGCGATGGGATCTGGGGCTGCAGCGATGGGATCTGGGGCTGCAGCGATGGGATCTGGGGCTGCAGCGATGGGATCTGGGGCAGGCTGCAGTGATGGGATCTGGGGCTCCAGTGATGGGATCTGAGGCTCCAGTGATGGGATCTGGGGCTCCAGTGATGGGATCTGGGGCCAGTGATGGGATCTGGGGCTGCAGTGATGGGATCTGGGGCTGCAGTGATGGGATCTGGGGCTCCAGTGATGGGATCTGGGGCTGCAGTGATGGGATCTGGGGCTGCAGTGATGGGATCTGGGGCTGCAGTGATGGGATCTGGGGCTCCGGTGATGGGATCTGGGGCAGGCTGCAGTGATGGGATCTGAGGCTCCAGTGATGGGATCTGAGGCTCCAGTGATGGGATCTGGGGCTCCAGTGATGGGATCTGGGGCTGCAGTGATGGGATCTGGGGCTGCAGTGATGGGATCTGGGGCTCCGGTGATGGGATCCGGGGCTGCAGTGATGGGATCTGGGACTGCAGCGATGGGATCTGGGGCTGCAGCGATGGGATCTGGGGCTCCAGTGATGGGATCTGGGGCAGGCTGCGGTGATGGGATCTGGGGCTCCAGTGATGGGGTCTGGGGCTGCAGTGATGGGATCTGGGGCTGCAGTGATGGGATCTGGGGCTGCAGTGATGGGATCTGGGGCTGCAGTGATGGGATCTGGGGCTGCAGTGATGGGCTCTGGGGCTCCAGTGATGGGCTCTGGGGCTCCAGTGATGGGCTCTGGGGCTCCAGTGATGGGATTTAGGGCTCCAGTGACGGGCTCTGGGGCTGGAGTGACGGGCTCTGGGGCTGGAGTGACGGGCTCTGGGGACTGCAGTGACGGGATCTGGGGACTGCAGTGACGGGCTCTGGTGACTGCAGTGACGGGCTCTGGGGACTGCAGTGATGGTGGCCAGCTGACTGGGGTTATGGGGAATGGAGCTCATTCCATGCATTGCCATTACCACCATTCTAGGACACCCACAGCTCTGCTCACTCCAGGCTATGGGAAATGAAAGTACTCCAAACATGTATTCACAGTGCTGGGTTATGTTACTGGATCAGAGCTGGGTTACATTACTGGATCAGTACTGATCCAGTAATGCTATAATGCTTTGTACTGCAGACTCATGCCTTTACTTGTCTGTCTTCAGCATTATTGATAATTCAATAATGCGCCTTTAACATTGTGCAGGTATCATACTGTCTTTCTTTGATGTATGTTATTATATTTATACTGTCTCCTTTTTGGCTCAAGTGACTTCACACAAAAAAAAACCTGTATGCAATTATTTAATAATTTTAGAAGAATCTGTTCACAAATGTTTACTTGGTGTGTTCTAAAACATCTTGTGTAATGTGTATATACATTTTGAAATCATATTCTAATTACAACTTTATTTTAACTCGTGGTTTGTATTTTATTTCTAGGCACAATTATCTGAGATATTCAGTTTGGAACCTCATGAAGAATTAATTATCTGCAAATACTATGAAAAGAGACTGCTTGACTTCTGTAATGCCTTCAAACCTGCAATGCCAAAATCTGTTCTGGTGAGTTGAGTCTTATTTAAATTGTGTTTTCATGGACTGCTTTAATTTATACATAAACATTAGAGGAGGCAAGGCTCATAGTTCCTTCTACCGACTGGTATTAATAAATGAAACACAAAGCTTGGAGGAAAGTGGGAGGTCGGTACACAAACCTCTAATCACCTGTTTTTGTCAGGAGCAAATCCAGAAAAAGATAAAGTGTGGATTGGGAACAAACCCACACAACCATGGCTTGCACATAGACCAGCATAGACTCCACGTGGCATTCCAATAAATATGTGCTAAGTCCATATGCACAATGCCTGGAGGGAGCAGCTTGCCATTTTCTTGTATACAAACTATCACTGCTCCTTCTTGGTGTTTCAGAGGAATGTATGCTGAAAGAACAATATAGCCCCAATTTCTCTCTTGACTAGAAAGATGCACAACTGTGTGTTTCTGTGCTGCTTTAATTTCACATTCTTAAGAATTTTGTTAAAATCATTCACTAGGATAGATATTACCTCTTGCTTGTAGTTTAACTGTATGTAGTTAGTGCACATGTATTAGAGATTTGATAAATGTTTGTTCAATTTTTTTTCAGGGAACAGCATGTATGTACTTCAAACGCTTCTATCTCAATAATTCGGTTATGGAGCATCACCCACGCATAATAATGTAAGTTTGTACAATTCTGCTACTTTTTTCCATTCATCTTGTATTTTGTTATCGTCCATATTAGTGATCAAAATAATTCTAATGAAAGAGATGTATTTACATCCTAAACACATTACGGTCTTTTTCTCTCATGAGTGCAATATTTATTTTGACTTGCACTCAGGTAAAGGTACCCAAAAATAACTCTTCCATAATGTTGTAATTCTGTTACTACATAAATGTTTCTTACCTACTCACCCTTCTCTGTACCTCCAGTATGCTTTTTAACATAAGAACAGTTCAGTGCTGGCTGGTGAAGTCTTAAGATTGTTGGTTGCCAAAATCACGCCCAGAATTGAATGCTACACTTTAGCTCTGTAGTAACCATCTTCTGACATGTTGTCTGTCCATTAACCCTATGTATTCAACCCCTAGTACAGTACACAGAGCTGCATACAATACACAGAGCTGTGCACATCAGAGAGATGTCCCAAGTGCAGCTATGGACAAACCTTCACTGAAGTTTTGTATTCTTTGTTTTGTATTTAAGGCTGACCTGTATGTTCTTGGCTTGCAAAGTGGATGAATTCAATGTATCCAGTGCCCAGTTTGTTGCCAACTTAGGGGAGAATCCAGTGGGACAGGAGAAGATTCTTGAACAGATCCTGGAATATGAACTCCTCCTGATACAACAGCTGAATTTCCACCTCATAGTACACAACCCTTATAGACCCTTCGAAGGATTTTTAATTGATCTAAAGGTAATCTATTGTGCAAATTGATAAATAATTATATGGATGACTGTACAGTATTGCTTGCTCTAGCATCATCAGTGTAAAAATGTGCAACTGAAAGACAACACCCTTTAGAATGACATTAAAGGAACACTCCAGTCACCAGAACAACTCTATTTAAATAAGGTTGTTCTGGTGCCCAGTGGCTCCTGGACGCACTCTTACCTTAAGGGGTTAAACCATTCTCGAACAGTTTAACCCCAAAGTTTGCTTCCACCGTTGATCTGCAGGTCACCCAAGCAGCATTCGGCTTCAGAATCCCCGTTACAGGAAGCACGAAGTGTCGCCAGGCAGAGACGATGTCCTAAGCCAATTATAGCTCACCATTCATTTAAAAAGAAGATATATATATTTTGGGGGGGGTTATTTTACATTTTGTTTGCCATAAGCCAATCAGTGGAACCCCTGTAGACCGGTGGGTGCAGACCCCAAGCTCCTCCACCTTAACTCCTACTGGACCACCTAGCAATATTGTCGTCATCTCCGAAAATTTGGAGTTTAGGAAATATACCTGCCAATATCCAGGACTCTAGGGACATTATATTGTGTGTCAGGACAAATATATTGGGCTACCACTTTAGACGCTTGTACAAGTAGATTTTGAAATGTCCACACTCCTGCAGATGTAGAGCTAGTCTTAACCATGTATTGACAGGAAAGCCAAGGCAAAACCGTTGTTACATGTAGCGATTTAAACCTTAAGATTGTAAGCTCTTGGCTATCTAGCTAAGTACCTGGAATAAAAGAGCTTCCATGGCTAGATCTCCTCTCTCGAACAGGTCTGTCTTTATTTTAATTTGTATTGGTCTTTGTATATTGTAGTGTCTTTTTTTTTTACTGTACAGACCTGCAGAATATGTTGGCTCTTTAAAAATAACAATAATAACAGTATACTTATGCCATATAGCAGTCTTTCAAAGGCTATTTATGGACCATAGTAATTGCATTTCATAAAGGGTATTTCAGAGCTACATGTGTGCACATTTCAGTCTTCAAGAGGCATAATACACCTAATTTTATTTCCTTTCTTCCCCAGACACGTTATCCTGTGTTGGAGAATCCAGAGGTGCTGAGAAAAACAGCTGATGACTTTTTGCACAGAGTTGCACTGACTGATGCATGTTTACTGTTCCCACCATCGTTAATAGCCCTCACAGCAATCTTATCTAGTGCCTCAAGAGCAGGACTTAATGTTGAAAGGTATTGCTTTGACAACACTATATATTATTTCAAGCAAGCTACTCTTTCACTATATGCACAATGTGGGTCACAATAAGTCAGGAAGGCAAGGAGGTGGGTCAGAGCCAAACACCGCGCTGGCCAATGAGCACCTCCTTATAGAGATGCATTGAATCAGTGCATCTCCATGGGGAAAGTTCAACGTCTCCATCCAAGATTTTCACATTTTCTCATTGATTTGTACACACCTTTTATAAATTCAATCTGGAGTTTACATCAAAAGTATGCAAAGTGTACTCACTAATTTGAGAATTGTGGAAAATTTAATTAAATTTTTTAATGCCGAGCTGAAAAAGTGGTTAAAAGGCTTTTCCAGTTGTGTTTTTTTTAATTTGTAATCCCTTTGTAAGTTCTCCACATTTCCCCTATTTTAGTGTCTGTGTAACTTCTGCACTACCTCCTCTCCATTCTAATGTAGAATGTCATGTGTTAAGAATCTGTTTGTCTGCTATGTTTGCTATGCTAACAAAATAAAATAAATGCTGAAATATATTTTAATATATTTATTTTTTTACTTTTAGTTATTTAACAGAATGTCTTTCCCTAAAGGACGATCGA